GACTAGATAAACCGACTAGATAAATATATTTTTCTTACTTATTGTGCCAGGTTGACAAAGAATGTCACTGGTGTCACTCTTACAAGTACTGACAGTGCATTTTTACATCATCAACCTTACTAATATATTTGGATTGGGAATGAACATGAGGTACTCACGATTGCACAGTTTCTTGAGTTGTGTGATAGATGACAGTGATGACATACTGACTTTACCATTACTAGTTACTTGACACTCAGCTGCTTTGGTGCTGACAAAACCATTGTACAGTGCTCTCTGCACATCAGTCAACCGACAGCAAACAACTTGTTCAACTGTAAACAAATAAGAATTATCATCAAGCCCCATTTATTTCTATTTTTTTAAATACAAGTACTCAATGTATATTGTTAGATATTTGACAGAGGGAAAATAGTTGAAAAAGGAAATTTACCTTTCACTGGGAGGTACTTGGAAAGTATAGAAGCTACAATAAAAACAATCAGAAATTATTCTATAATACAATAAAAATTAATCATGCAAAAATGCCCCTCACAAAAAAAATTTCCCAAAATATCTTGGGAACAAGTCATAAGGGTAAGAGTTAAACATTAGTCAGAATTAGAACTCAGGAGCCACTGTGTCAGGGGGAAACAGTCACTACATTAGGTAGAATTAGAACTCAGGACACACTGTGTCAGGGGACAACAGTCACTACATTAGGTACAATTAGAACTCAGGAGCCACTGTGTCAGGGGGCAACAGTCACTACATTAGGTACAATTAGAACTCAGGACACACTGTGTAAGGGGGCAATACACAAAATGTAGTCACTACATTAGGTGCAATTAGAACTTGGGACCCACTGTGTCAGGAGACAACAGTCACTACATTAGGTACAATTAAAACTCGGACACACTGTGTAAGGGGGCAACAGTCACTACATTAGGTAGAATTAGAACTCAGAGCCTACTGTGTCAGGGGGCAACAGTCACTACATTAGGTACAATTAGAACTCAGGACACACTGTGTAAGGGGGCAACAGTCACTACATTAGGTAGAATTAGAACTCAGGACACACTGTGTCAGGGGACAACAGTCACTACATTAGGTACAATTAGAACTCAGGACCCACTGCATCAGGGGGCAACAGTCACTACATTAGGTACAATTAAAACTCGGACACACTGTGTAAGGGGGCAACAGTCACTACATTAGGTAGAATTAAAACTCAGGACCTGCTGTGTCAGGGGGCAACAGTCACTACATTAGGTAGAATTAGAACTCAGGACACACTGTGTCAGGGGACAACAGTCACTACATTAGGTACAATTAGAACTCGGGAGCCACTGTGTAA